CAAGTAGCGGAATGCTACAGAGGTAAACAAACAATATCATTTGGAAGAGGATTAATAAGTGTTGACATTCATACAAATGAGTAATCCTGTAAACGTAAACAGAATATTTTATATAGATTTTTTTTAATGAAAACTTAAAATCCTGCATTATTTTCCGGACAACCCGATATTTTGTGTGAATTTGATTGCAGAATGAGAAAAATGTTTGTGGGCGTTGCTGTAGGGCTTATCGTACGGAGGAGGAAATTCCATCAGAATGTAAAGAGAAATGTAGAAGTGATGTTGGCATTTGCATAAGGCTTTGCGATGACGGTTGCAACGACGGAGAGTGCGATACTCCTGATGACTGTCAATGCCCCGACGGATTTATTTTACAGGGCGAAAGTTGCAGGCCCGCTTACCATAAAAGATGTGTGAACTCTTACTGCGCGGTTCCTGGCGCGTGCGAATGCTTTCCCGACCCGGTGAAAGCGTTCAAATCCCTCTGCGTCACGACATGTGAGAAAAACACAACTGAAGATTGCTGTCATGGTCTTGGAAATAAGACCGAAAGCCTTGTACGCAGAGGCAAAAAAAAGTTTTATCTGCCGGATGGCGTGAAGGCTGTAACGGTCCCGACCGATTGCAAAGCTTTGGTCAGAATGAACAAACGTACTGAAAATTTTTCGGGTGCGTTTTTCGAATGTCGAACAGGCCTGGAAGGCGAATCGGCCTACAGCTTCTGTCAGTTGGCATCAGGCAAATACACCTCAAACCACTACCCTACAATTTCAACTAACAATACGCATATTAATAAAATATTACATGTAAATGTCAGTTTCACATTTGTATACCCGATTGGTGAAAATTCAACTGGAATTTGTGAACTTTGTTTCTGCAACGATTATCTGTAAGTAATAAACTATGAAACCACAAAGAAATGTTTTTTCAAAAAACTTTGATTTTAGCACGATAGGAAAGGTACGGATCATTCGATTGTGTCCGTGTGTTCAACCTCAACCGACTTCAATTATTATTTTGGAAAGTAAGTCAAAAAAATTCATAAAAGGTAGCACAAATTGAAAGGGTGGTCGGCTGTGAAATGCAAAAATATTTGGTAGTACGTTCCAAATGCAGCAGAAAGCCGCATAAACGGGGTTTTTCACTCTCACTCTTGAGAATATATGATTTTTTAAACAAATTTAACTTTTAACACAAAACAATAAACTTTCTACGTTACCTATAACTTCTTATCAAAAGTTCTTTTTGTTTTCTAGAAATCTACGTAAAATTGTCTAAAGAATGAGACATATCCTGAACCATCTCAATGCAACTGATAGCCGTTTCTCTGAGCAAATTAATAAAATTAAATCCATTAGAGTTCGTGATCCGATTAAACAATTAACTTTTTTCAATATATAATATTTATTAAAGGTCAAGATAAAAAAGCCATTGTCACCAGCTGGATTCGAACCCACGACCTTCTGCTAAATAAGCTGCTGCTCTAACTCTTGAGCTATCGTGACTTCGATACACTCGGACACCATCTCAACCCCACCTTTTGAATTTTCCCTCCTTTTTGCCATTTTTCAAATGTCGTGTAATTTATTTGATTCTCAGCAATGAAATGGCCACGGAGAGCTTTCATGAAGAAATACTTCATTTTATTCATTATATCCATTAGAGTCCGTGGTCCGATTGACCAATTAACTTTTTTCAATTAATTAGTATTTATTTAAGGTATTGGTCGATATAAAAAAAGTCAGTGTCACGAGCGGGATTTAGCGCAGTTAGCCGAAGATCGTGGTTTCGTGATGACACTGACACTGACTTTTTATCTCAACCAATACCTTAAATAAATATTTTCAAAGAATTTCAAAAATTCACTACGCTTTGACGACACTTTCAAGAGACGGGAAAATTTAAGTAAAGCTGTTACAGTTAACAAGCGTTCGAATGGTATAGTAGGTAGGATTGATACATTCTTTTTCGAGATGTGTGGGAGATCAAACAATCAAATCAGCTGTTGAAAATTAAGCTTTTAAGCAAAGGTGAAGATTTAAATTGACGACAGCAAGAATTTTGGGCACTCTCAACACGACACGCAAGAATGACACACTTACGCATAAAACAAACACTTTGAGCCCTGAGGATGATCGAAATAAAGATCGAAACGTTGGCACGATCAAGAAAATGTTTTTCTGAAACCTACATCACACCAGACCGCATCTCACGATTTCTGAATAATCATTGACGACAACATTTTTCATTATTTACATAAAAACTAAATACTACAGATCCAACATAAAATAAAGATTGACTTTTGTGTGAGCAAAATAAAACATGGCCACTAGAGCAGATTAAGTTCTTACCTTTAAGCACTCTAATGCAACAAGTTCTCAAAGTGCATACTATTACTCCTCATCCATTGTAGCTTCATCTTCGAAAGTTAACATTTCTGAAACAAATTTTAACATTCTTACATTATAAACTTTTTTTGTAATAAAGCTGACAGCCATTCAACTGTGTATTGATAAAGTAACAACACACTGTCAACTTCAATGTCTTTGAGCTTTTTACATTTAGATCAAGAGCAGTTTTGGTATTCGCCAACGTCTAGGAAGTTCAGTCAGAGCGTAGTCAATTTTCGATGAATCTTAAAGAACCGTGAAAATTCGAAAAAATATCGACGATTATCACCCATTTTTTCATTTCACAGCAAACTACCCTAAATATTTTAATCATAATATTTTATACTCTTTACCAAGGTATACAAGAATACGCTATGGCCGTGGAATTTAATGAAAAATTTTCCGTGATATTATGTTGAAAAATATTAGACATGTGTCGGAGTGTTCTTGCCATTGGGCCCTAGGAGCGGAGATAAAATTGAGCTAATTTAAGTTATTTTTTAAATTATATAATAATTATTATTATAGTTATTATATATAATTTGATTTTTTCATCTAATATAAATAAAACATAAGCGCTGTAAATTTATATTATGTAATTAAAACGTACACAAACCAAGTAGTAAAGAATGTAGGCCAAAAATATTATACTTTGAAAATGTAAAACAAAAATAATACAGATTTGTTTTAAACACATTTTAATACGTTTAAGTACCAATTTTCATTTCAATAAAAAATAAAAATTATGAGCTGGGTTCTCCGCAAATAGTTTTTAGAGAATGCCCGTTGATTCGCTTAAAAATTCATAACTCTTCTAAGTTTTATACAATTTGGACGCTATAGAACCATTAGAGAGCAGAATGTCAATTGGTTCATTTTATGTCCACAACATTTAGATTTTATATCATTATAAATGATATAAATAAGGATGAAATAAATAAAATTGCTCTAAACATTTTATTTTATATCTCAGGTTTTAATTTATTTACAAACCCAAGAATGTGCCAGTAAATGTAATTTTTAAATCCTTGCAAAATAATTTTTTTGTAAAAAAAATCTGAGACAAAATTTTTAAGAAAAAGAGTTATTTTTCCAAACAATTGTATTCAGGGGTATTTCGGATTTAAAAAATACAGGTGAATATGAAAGATGGAAATGACAATTTTTTTTTATTTTTACCAAAAATTGTATAAATTCAGAAAGCAGAAAACGAAAATCATTGTTTCTTGCTAAAAAAAAAAATTAGACGACTTTGCTACATCACTTGGTGACTAATTATTACACCCATTTTATGGATAACTGCAAAATTCTAGACATTTTTGAAGTAGAGAAAATTATTTTTGCCTTCTTTACTAAAAGCGCCTTTTTGTTGTAACTTTTTTCATATTTAATACGATCCTACGCACTGATTCTTTTGCCAGAAATAAAAAAAAATTGACTGTTATATAATAATTTTCAAATCCGTACAGAAAAAGTCATAAAAACTTGTTTAAAAACTCAAAATTACTTGAAATATTTTTTCTCGGTTCCTAGTGCCCATTGGCAAGACGCGTGGGATATATTTTTAATATATTTTACAACTATCACCAAAAAAGTTCATTTAAATTACAAAATTAATTTTATACGTTTAAAATTCTTAAAATATGTATAGAAATAACTTGTTTGAGCTAACTGGCTACCAATTTTGTATTTCAGATATTTTTAAACTTTTTTATGTTAAACTAATCTCAATTGTTTCAGGTTTAACATTGTACATTCTTCTCCTTATATTACTCGTACTACTTCTTTTAATAATTATTCTCATCACTTATAAAATGGTTTACAAAAAAGACAAAATTGAAAGTTATAAGCCTTGTAAGTACTTGTAATGAACTTTTAAATCAAATTATATTTTTTTAAGTTATTTTCAATAAATTTCATTAGTTTCCAAGTGGGACGATGCTGCATATTAATGATGGGTTATTAAGGTAAGGATGACATTTTGAAAATAAAAATACATTTATCTATTATTCAGTATTGGTTTAGTTTTTTCTTTTTTTGATTATTGGCTTTAGTAGTAATCTGCAAATAATTATCGATTTATAGTTAACTAAATAATTTAAGTTATTTGTTGGGATGAGACTTTCCCAGTAGAATTTATCTGGTCACATTTTAACGTATTCTAACTAGATATTCTTGTGTGCCCATTGAAAATTTAAATACCAAGTTTCGGTTTAACTAATAATCCATTATATTTAGAGGTCCATTGACCAAATTACTTCTTTCAATTAATTAATATTTTTTGAGGTAGAGATGGCGAGTTGGTGTCTGAGTGGATCGATTTTGGGAAGGTCGGATTGGAAATAGAAGAATTTTTCAATATTCTTAATAACAAAGATTTTTCCCAGTTATGCATTGCTATAATATGGGTGTTAATAAATGAAATTATTGACTAGGCAATAAGAAAAAGATCTAGATTTATTATATAATATTATTGGTTTTTAATGTCAAATTATTCTTTTTTAGTTTAAAGTTTTGTCAACCTTAAAACTTAATAAGATGGAACGAAATATAAGTATGTAAAGAAAAATTCCTGCACATTTGAAACATCTTTGTAGAATAAAACAATTGGGATCTTAGAACATCATAAAAAAAATTATTATATAGCTCAATTATATATCTATATGTGTGGTGATTAGTGACCGTTAGTCGATAATTATTCAGAAATCGTGAGATGCGGTCTGGTGTGATGTAGGTTTCAGAAAAAACATTTTCTTTATTGTGCCAACGTTTCGATCTTTATTGAGATCATCTTCAGGGCCTGGGATTTACAAACATTGTTTACATTTAACAAATACATGTAGGATGTGGAAAAAAGTGAATTTATACAATGCAAAAAATTATATTTTTTATATTCAATCAAAGAATTTTACTCACTCAAAGTTTGTTTTCTGCGTACTTTGATTACGCTCAGGACAATACAAGTCAATTACATTCTATCTATCAAGTATACAGAAATTTTACTCTATATACTTATATTTCATACCAACTTCCTAATTTGAAAATGAAATGAATAATTTGACATTAAAAAGTGATAATTTGAAGTTAGAAAAAAGGCCAATTTGAAGTTTAAAATGCTAATTTGGAATGTAATTGAACTTAGAAAAGTCAGATATCTTTTTTCATGCTTTAAAAAAGGGGTTGAGATAAAAATAAGGGAAGTTAGTGTCCGAGTGGATCGAAGTGACGATAGCTCAAGTGGTAGAGCAGCGGCGTATTTAACCGAATGTCTTGGGTTCGAATCCCGCTCGTGGCACTGGCTTTTTCATTTCAACCAAAACCTTACAAAAAAGGTTAATTAATTGAAAAAAGTAATTTAGTCAAAGACCACTAAATATAATGGATTTAATGAGTAAAACGAAGTATAGCTTCACTAACAGCTCCCCGTGGCCACTTCAAATGTGCCGAGTATCGAAACCTGATTCTCATTTGAAAAAAGGCAAAAAGGAGGGAAAATTTGAAAGGTTGTAGGTTGAGATTAAGAGTTGGTGTTCGAGTGGATCGAAGTCACGATAGATCAAGTGGTAAGGCAGCGACGTATTGAGCCGAAGGTCGTGGCTTCGAATCCCGCTCGTGGCACTGTCTTTTTCATTTCAACTAAAACTTTTCAAAAAAGAAAAATTAATTGAACTAACTAATAATTTTTGTTTTTTCTGCAGTACAAAACATCCAAGAGTCGAAGTTCCATTTTGGATTTTACTATTAGCTCAAGAAGTTCCTTCAATTTTGTATTAGTAGATTTACCAAAACGTTACATAAATGTTCACATTCACTTAATTCTGTAGATTAGGTTTTGTAATTTATTTGTAAATATATTATATTATCGAACTCTTTTGTTTTTAATTGCGTGCAAAGTTGAAAGAGTAACACTTTTCCATGCATCCATTTTTCATAATTTCGTCAATCCTTTTGTGAACATCCTCAACTCTATAGGCACGTGTTTTTCCTTCTGGGACGATCAAGCCTGCATTCCGTTTGATGTCGGTTACTAGAGAATAGATTTCACCGGAGATACCCCTTTTCGAATCAATTTCTTTCCCTTCGAAATAATCGTTGATGATGTCAGTGATTTTCTTACTCAATTTGTGATTTTTACCCTTTTTTCCGGTGTTTTTGTTCCGCTCGATTAGCACAGTCGCTACTGCCTCAACAGTGGGGTAATTAGAGGACTTGACCACACCGTAGTCTTTTTTATAAACATAATAAGGATTTGAAACGATCAACGACAAAGCTTCCGAAACGTTCACCAGCTCTTGAAATACTCCAGGATTGATGGCTAAATTCTCCCAGTAAAAATCAGGGTATAAGATAATGGCTCTTTTGATTTTATTTATCCCTTGTAATTTTTCAAAAGATGATTTAACTTCTGGCTGAATCATAAGGCGAATATTCGGTGCTACCCATGAGTCCCAAAACGTAAATATCGCTTTCGCCACGTTATCGTCAAAATCGTCTTTATACGTTTTGTAAACAGCTTCAATCAGTTCTTTTCTAATATTCGAGGTGATGTTATGTTTTGCTTTTATACCTTTTGAAATAGAAGACATGTAGTCAGAAAGATTTTCTTTGTCTAGCAATCCTAAATGCATACTTAATAAAATACAAATAACTTCGTCCTTTAAATTTGGCTTCCCGTACACAGTGATAAGAGCTAAAATAGCCATAGCTATCTGTGGTGTCAGCAAATTATTTCCATGTTTGTCGAGGAAAGCTCTTTTGGTTATCGGGATGACAGCGGGCCAATATTCTTTCTTATCTCCTCTAAAGGCCAACTGTGCCAAAAATCCTTCTTCTCCACTCTCTCGGTTCCAGATTTTCGTATCGAGGTCGGACACTCTCGCCAACTCTTTCGACGAGAGTAAAGTATGAACGACTTGAACCAACTTCTGTCGTGACTTCGTTTCGCTCAACGATCTCTCATCGTCGAATTGTGGGGCGAGGAGCTCCCCGATGGCGCAGACCCTTTCTGAAATTCTGTCGCATTTGTTGTACTGAAGGTGTCTGCCGATTGAATAAATCAACGCCATTTTGGCATGGCTCGGATCCCTCAGCTCTCCGACAAAAGGCAACAGGTTCGCAGCGGCAAGACTGAAATTATGATACAACGCACGATTTCCATCCATGATTACTAAAGTTTGCCTAATTTTCTTCCTGGTCTTTCACAAGAAACAATAATCATTAAAAAACGTAACACAATTGTCAAAAAATCGTTTTAAGATTTAACATATGATAGTATGAAAATAAACATTGTTAGCATATTAACGTTGTTCCTGTTTTATTTTTCAAAATCTCTTCCTTCACTCATATTTTTTATGTATTGTTAAATACTTTTGAAACAATTAATAAACAATTTAACTTATATTATACTACGAAAGACAGTTTAGTTGTTATTTTGGATTAGAAAATTACTAGGCCAAAATTGCTCGTTTCTAGTTTTCAACAATTACGCTAGATGTCTCAGCAACCAACTATTCTGCTAACTTGCATTGAATAAGTCATTGCTGACGAATGTATCGCCTTTTTCAATACGAAAATTATTAAATTCAAAAAATAATAAATTTATAATATAATTNAATAATAATAATAATAATACTTTATTGCAAAAAAGAAAAGTTATAAACATTAAATAATATATAATTTAAAGTAAAATTACGGCATGGAGGGTCCGTCTGCCAGAGGTCGATTTTCATTTGAATTAAATTTTTGGTCGACACAGAGAAACAAGTACAAAAGAAAAAAAAATTGATCCTTAAATAGATATTACAATTGATAATTCAATTTAATTTTAATAATTACATTAATTACAACATACATTATAAACAATATTTTTTGTTCTTCGTTTAATATATATATGTATGTATATATATATATATATATATATATATGTATGTAGGTATGTATGTATGTATGTATGTATGTATGTATGTATGTATGTATATATATGTATGTATATATGTGTATATATATGTGTATATATGTATGTATGTATATATATGTATGTATATATGTGTATGTATATATATGTCGGGGCTGGCCAAACGACTCGTTCAATTTAAATTTTATTAAAAAGTAAACAAATTTACTACAATTTATACAATATTACAAACAACTTTAAATTTCACTTAAACTTCACACGTCTTTTTCGTCTTTCAGATCTTCTTCTCTTTGTGACTCTCTGTAACCTCCTCTTACGTCATCATCCCATATATATATATATATATATATATATATATGTATATAACTTATAATAATAATACCCTACAGGGAGCGCGTAGGCATGCCATCCAATCTGAAGAAGGTGCTCGAGCACTGCAGCGGGTTTCAGGGTCCCCTGTTCCGNTATATATAAAACAGTAGACAGAAAAGCGCTTGTTTTAAAACTTTTTAACATTGGTGTATCAGCCAAATTCATAAACGTTATACTTTAATTATGTGGATGTAAAGTGCAAATTAATTTTATGAAGGTTTAAAATATCCTTTACCACTGTATTATTAAATTCTAGACCATTGTCCACTGTTATTTGTGTGAGAGTGGTGGTCGTGTATTACACCAATTTGTCGACTATTTCCAAGCCTTGTCCTGAATTTAGTGGATAAGCATGAGTGTATTTTAAAAATACGTCAATTAAAGTAAAAAACTTTGTGTTCTCAAGGGTGATGGTTTCTAAATGTAAAATTTCAAAAGGTGCGCTAGGTGTAGGTGTTATATTTAGCTCTAGGTTAAGTGGGACTCGGTCATATTTTGAAGCAAGGCAGATTTTACATTTATTAATAAAGGATTATATAGCGTTTTTCATAGTGGGCCAATAATATATACGTTTAATTCTACTTTTCGATCCGTGATGCCCCTATGATTTGTTTTTGAAATATGATATTTCTCTATAATTTCATTGATATCGGTTTCTTTTAAAACATCGATACTTTTGTCTGTACATTTAAAAAATTTTAGTTCTGAATAAGTGAATACCTCCATATTACTTTCGCAAATTTTTCGTATAAGTCTGACTCAAAATACAAGTGATATGCTGTTTTAGGTACGATGAATTCTTTTATAAATTTAATAACGTCATTAGTAAAATCGTTCTTTGAAAATTGGACGCTTGTTCTTGTTTTTGAATTCCCGAACAACTTAATAATTTTCGGTTTTGCCGGATTAAATTCGACTTCTGAAATTATTATTTGATTTTTTCCGAAATTAACCGGACCTTCAATCTACATTGACGATGATGGATTCATTTTCTAGATTTACATTAGATTCGTTTTCAAAATTTAATCTATCGGGTTTGAGATCTGGATTTTGTAAATAAAAGTCTCTAATTAATTGATCTATTCGTCGCCGGTTTCATGTACATTCAATTCTATTCTCGAAAGAGCATCAGCTACCTTGTTCTCTTTTCCTGTTTTTCCGCTCCTTCATAGAAAACAGCCATTGTAATGGTCTGTGATCGCACTCGTATAACAAATTTCCTACCGAATAAATATGGCCTAAAATATTTCGTTGACCAAACAATTGCAAGTAATTTTCGTTCTATTGAGGACAATTTTCTTTCAGATTCACAGAGAGTTCTACTAGCATAAGCTATAGGCAACTCTTTTCCATTAAAATTTTGGGACAAAACTGCGCCCATCGCGACATTCCATAAGAACGGGGAGGAAATGACCTCTGACAAAAACACACAGACAGGCGAAAAATTTCACTTAATTGACTTTTTTTATTTTCTCGATAAAAGAAAATTCTGCCTTTAATTTGTCTCATTTTTTCATCAATAAACATTTTTTTACGTTACGTTTTAAATTGGGAACATCAATTAGAAGTAAACACACTTAATCCTTAATCCAAAACCTGGATAAAGGATTTTTCAATATTTACTTTCTATAGAATTTAAAATGTTTATTCAGTCTCATTTGAATTCTGAAGCAATAAACTGTTTACTTTCTATATTTATTTTCAATTTATAAACTTAAAAATGCCACATAATACTGAGGATGTTGAGTGTGGCTCTTATTGATGATGGACGTTGCATCAGATATGCAGCTATTGCCATCGGAGTTCCTACGCTGTTTTGTGTCACAAGCATGTCGAAGTCACGATAGCTCAAGTGGTAGAGCAGCCGAAGGTCGTGGGTTCGAATCCCGCTTGTGACACTGACTTTTTTAACTCAAACAAAACCTTAATTAAAGATTAATTAATTGAAAAGAATTTATTTAGTCAAGTCGACCACGAAACCTAATAAATGTAATAAGCAAAATGCAGTATACTTCACTAAAGCTCTCCGTGGCCATTTCATTTGTTGCCGAGAATCAGATTACACGACATTTGAAAAATGACAAAAAGGAGGGAAAATTCAAAAGGTGGGGTTGGAATGGGAAGTTGGTGCCCGAGTCCATCGAAGTCACGATACCTCAACTTGTAGAGCAGCGTCGTATTGATCCGAAGGTCGTGGGTTTGAATCCCGTTCATGACACTGAATTTTTTATCTCAACCAAAACCATAATTAATTGATTAACATCAATTAATTGAAAAAAATAAATATTTAAATTACGGAAAATATTTTCTATCTTAGCTTCTGGGCAAATCGGGAAAACGCTCGTACTCGTTTTAATATTTTTTGACTTACATTCACGAATCAGCAACAGGGGCATGGAGCCGGAAACGTCATCTCTTTCAGCCTTGAGCGAGGGGAGTATTGCCCTGGTGTATTTCTTGATGTGGTGCAAGCGATCGATCGGGTTCTGGCACACGGGGCTTCTAACCAAGTTAAAAGCCCTTCCCCCTTCAACCTGATCCAAAGATCTAACCTGTCCGACAAGTATTACCAAATGGGACA